AATCTTTCCTATTTCTTTGGGCTAGAACTGAAAAAGATGTACTTTTTTGTATAGTTAGGAGTAGTTTATGGCTTCTGGAACACATTTAGTAGCATCATTACCGCATAAGTTACGTATGTGGCAGGTACAAGGAGAAAACATAACCGTGGGTCACTCTTCTTTTATTATAGCTTGCGCTCCCTTGTTTTTATTGGACATGTTTGACAAATTGTCATAATTTTGCGCCCTTTAATCACCGAGTGAATTAGCATTACTTTCTAACATTTTTGGTTCTGAGCATTACTTTCTAATCATTTTTGGTTCTGAACCCTAAAAAAATGATGACAACATTAATTATTTGCATAATATGTGCTATTTTTCCTATTTCACCTTGGATGGTTCAATAAAATTATCAATATCATCTTGAACTAACAAACCATTGTATGCACATTACGTATAATACACCAACACCATCATATGCACCCATTATAACGTTAAGAAAAACAACTTTTTTTTTAAGCCACGCTTTGTTGCTAAAAATTAAAGATTTTCTTTGTATTAAGTGTTTATAACAAGATGTTAATCAGCAAAGTTGCGTTGTTGAGCGTTTTTTCACTTATTGAAGGATAAAAGTAATAAACTAAAAATTTACTTAGTTAAAAGTTTTTTTTATTCTTTCCTTTTTTTTTTTCTTTTTTAAGCTGCTGATTTATGTTTTTAGATATTTCTCGTACGCAGAATCTTAAAAATATTAAGTTAATAAAAACCTAAAAAAAATCTTTATATGGAAAAAAAATTCAAAACATTCTAACTTTTATATTACTTTGATTCTACCACAACAATCAATCCACTGGATTGATTGTTGCAATCCACTTCACCTACAACAATTAATCCACAACAGCAACAACAATCAATCTAACACAGCTACAACAATCAATCCACGAGAACTAAAACAATCAATCTTCTACAGCTACAACAATCAATTTACTTCACCTACAACAATTAATTAACAGCTAAAACAATCAATTCAACACTGCCACAACAATCAATTCACGACAACTACAACAAACAATCTACTACAGCTATAACAATCAATCCACGACAGCTACAACAATCAATCCACCACACAGCCCAGTCTATAGATCATCCTGGTTCCCTAGCGAATAACGGTTGTGGCCTCTCCAGTATACCCTTCCCTCCAACTCACACAAAAAAACAGTACTTAAACACTTTTAATTTTTTTTTATATGCTTTACATAAAAAACTGAAAAAAAAAATTTTTGATCGAAAATTTAAAGTAAATCTAAATGATTTAGTTTTTTAGTTTCATCGGTACCAATTTAAATTGACTTTAAAACGAAGCTCTTGAACTGCAGATATTTACTTGGAAAATATGTATCCGCATTGTGTGGGTAGATTTTTAAAAGTTCTTGGGCGTGCGATGTAATTGCAACAGCATCCATATTTAGAAGACAAAAAAAAATCTCAAACGTGTGAAAAGTGGGGCAGATGTATGCTTTTGCCTCTCAAGCTTAGCTAAAAGTAGATGCATAATGATATTAGCCTCAGCCATTAATTTGCCTCATCCAGTAATGTTTTATGCCTTAATAGACATCAATCCGTCACGTTGGCTCTTGTGCACTCTTTTTCGTTTTCAAATTTGCCAAAATTTGATATAACCTTTTAAACAAAAATAGACTGTGCTAAACAGTTCATTTGCTACTGCTATGTCAATTTTAACAGTTTAAGCATTTTGTTCACAATGTTGAACCTTTCAATAATTGTGTTCCATGACGGCTGTCTACTAAGTCCACTAACTTTTACTATTTTGCTATCTTGTTTTGCTATTTTAAATTTTTTAAAGGCTGTCTTTAAGTTTATACACATATTTTAAATATACAAATAAATAAGTATTATTGATAACTGCGAACTTAAAAAACTGATTATGATACTTATACCTTGTAACTAAAATAACCCGTTTGAAGAGTAGAACACGCATCTGCACGTGCAGATCGTTTAGTCTGTGAGAGACTTTTTACAATCTTTACACCGTTTTCTAGTTTTGATTTTAAAATTTCTCATCGATGTGTTGAAACAGAAAAAAATTATATTCTGTTGATAATAGACAAAGATGCAGTTGTCACACAAGACTCATTTGCTGCAAAACCAACCAGATTTAAAGAATGGCCGACAAATGAAACATATTCAGCTAGTGGATATAACTCCTTGGGCTTGCAACCCACTGTAGACCTCAGACATGTTGGAGACATTATCATACGAATTTCCACGACAACCAGTGATATTTATGCCGTGCATCTCCAATGTTTTTTTGACAAAATGAAGTATATCTGCTGCCCCGTGACCTTTCATTGAAATGAATGATAAAAAAACGTTTATCATTCATTTCAAGGGGTCCAAGATTGCAGACTCTTTATTAAGATCTTTATCAAGAAATCTGGAGGATAGCTGCTACATGTGAGAGAATACACCGCCTCCTGTAATATGGCATCAGATTGCTTTTTTTTTTTTTTGCGAAAAATGCTGTTAACATATGAAAACATTTTTGTTGTCACATGTTGCAACAACAATATTTTTTTGTTGGCACGGACGCAACAACATCTAGGCTTGCAATTTGTTTTTAGTTTGGCAATTTTTTTCTTTTGCCACTAAACTTTATTTTGACAGGTTCATCCATGTTATTAATTGATCACTTCAGACTTCTACTTGATTACTTCTGACTAATTTTTTGTTCTGAAAGTTCGAATTATTTTTTACTAACATTTTATACATTTGATTGAATAATTATTAAATCAAAAAAAATATTTTAAAGAAAATAATTTTTTTCTTTTTTTGTATTACGCAGCCTGGTTTTTACAAAAAAATTTCTTGCTGGTTGACCACTCCAAAGGCCCTGGCCCCGCAGTGGCTACCTACGCTGAACATGGGTAAAAACGGGGCTGCCTCTACAGCTAATACAATCAATCCACGACAATTAAAACAATCAATCTACCACAGATACAACAATCAGACCACCATAGTTACAACATAATTAAAAATTCAGATGTAAACCAAAAAGTAAAAATTAAAAGAGATTGAAAAAAAATAAATAAAAACTAATAAAATAATTCAATATTGTGTTAGACCATTGTTAACAAAGTTATTTATAATCTAAAATTTTGTTAAAGTATGCTAAAGAAATACGTATGTTAAAAAAATAAGGAAAAAGCCTAATAGTTCTTTACTTTTTTTTAAGCGAGTTATCATAGTTTAAGAGAAGATTAACCAATAGTATGTTTTAAAATTGCGGTGTATGTTCTTCTTTTCTTTTTTTAGCTTACCACTGCGCCGCATTTATAAATTGGTTTTTAGCGGCCAATAGCATTAATCAAATTTATAATTGATTACATGATCAATTACATTAATTGTGATCACATGATCAATAACACTAATTATTTAGTTATTAGTAATTGCATTTAATTTTCTTGAATTGCTTTCTTATTAAGCAATTATTATCTACATTTGGTCTACTAGCAAGTTTCTTAAATATATAACTGGAACATTTCAAGCAGAGTTGATAATGCCGCCCGGCGGCAAAGTAACTTTCTGCCAAAAGGCCGACTTTTTAAAGAGGCGAAAGCTATTGACGGCGGCCTCCCGATCAATTTTTAGCGGCAAAATGTTCTTTCTTCCGCCTCCAGTGGCTTCCGCTTTTTTTATTGGGGGCCGCAGCCGGAGTTCTTTTTTGGAGGCAAAATGTTTTGGAGGCCGACGCCAATAAAGTGGCGGAAGCCAATGGTGGCCGCCTCCAGAAGAAATTTTGGAGGCAAAGCTACTTGGAGGCCGCCTTCAATGGCTTCTGCCTCCTAACTGGCTGCGGCCGTCAAATTGGAGGCGGAAATATTTGCCTCTCGCCGGTGGATGTAATGAAAAATAATTACTCGTTTGCTTTTAAGCAATTAAATATTAACTAGAAACAAATGTTAAAAAGTTGCTGTAATAAATAAACTGGTTGTAATAAATAAATTAATTAATGTTAAATAAATTAACTTTATTAATTTTTAATAATGTTAAAAGATGTTGTGTTTTTCAAATATTTTTACAACATTTAATGACTAGAATTAATAATTTAATGTTATGGTTGAAAAATTAAAGTTTTAGCGTGACGTAAGGTCGACAAAATATCAAACGATCAAAAACTTTAATTATTTGTCATAAATTTTTTTTTTTTGCTTAAAGCATGTAAACAAAATTTCTAATTTTTAATATTTGTTTTGAAATAAAATTTACTAATTTATTCAATAATAGTAGATAAACAACCGCACTGACAAAGTTATAATTTATTTTCAAAAAATTTTTTAAATAGTCAATAAATAATATAAAATAAAACTTTGATGTCAAGTATTAAACATTTGTTTCTAGTAAATATTTAATTGCTTCAAAGCAAACAAGCAGTTATTTTTTATCACATCCGCCGGCGGTAGGCAAATATTTCCGCTCCAATTTGACGGCTGCAGCCAGTTAGGAGACAAAAGCCATTGGAGGCCGCCTCCAAATGGCTTTGCCTTCAAAATTTCTTCTGGAGGCGGATACCATTGGCTTCCGCCACTCTATTGGCGTCGGCCTCCAAAACATTTTGCCTCCAAAAAAGAACTCCGGCTGCGGCCGCCAATAGAAAAGCGGAAGCCACTGGAGGAAAATTTATATACATATATACATATATATATATATATATATATATATATATATATATATATATATATATATATATATAAATTAAATTATATATCTTAAAATTTATATACATACATATATATATATACATATATATATATATATATATATATATATATATATATATATATATATATATATATATATATATATATATATATATATATATATATTTATATATGTGTTTTTATATAATTTTATTAAACTATTTGTATATATTACTATTTTAGTTATTATATATACATGTTTTTATTATTATATATACATTAAATATACTTTTTTTTTTCTAGCATTGTCATCAAATTATGTGGTACCCTTAAAACCAGGTAATTTTTTTCATTACACATAAGAGCTATTGATAAACGGAGTGGCATAATTTAAATTTTACTCAATTATAGATTTGTAAAGTTTTATTTTCTCTTTATAAGAAAAACATCTATTACAGGATGTGGCAGAAAAAACTCCCATATTTCAAAAAATTTTATGTGGTCTAAAATTTTTGTGAAGGTGTGTTGTCCACTTCGTTACCTAACGTACGTAATAGAGTTTTCTTTATATATATATATATATATATATATATATATATATATATATATATATATATATATATATATATATATATATATATATATATATATATATATATATATATATACATATATATATATAGCAAATAAATTACTGTCACGCATACAATGAAACTACCAGTTTCATTACGTAAAAAGTATTGTTTATCAGGCTAGAAACATTTTGGCCTATATAATTTTCTAGGGCGGAAACGTTTTGAAAGATACAATTTTTAAAATTTAAAGTTAAAAATCTTTTATATAGTTAAATTTGGAAAATAAAATGTTACGTGTTTTAAAGCAACATTTATTTGAAACGTGGAAATTATTTCTGCCACACACTAATTTATAAAATAAAAATAGTTAATTATTTATTTAAACAAATATTTTTGTATTTAAATATGTAAGAACTAATAACAGTTACAAAAGCATAAGTATAAAGTGCTTAAATACATACACAACACAGTGTTCAAATGCAAATTAATTTAAACTTTCCGTCCCAAAAAAAAATCTTCTGAGGTATGGTAGTAAACAAGTAGGCGGTAACATTGATATAAATCACAAAATCAGAATATTTTGTCTGTAAAAGAAAAAGTGATATTAAATATGAAAAACTTTATTTTCTATAAAGCAATAATAATATGCAACTCTAAACCACCTGTTTCAAATAAAAAAAGTAGTTCATACCCTTATAAAATTTTCAAAGAAAGCTAGTTATTTTAAGTGCTTTTTTTAGTTAACCTATATAAAGCAATGAACAATTTCCATTAAAATAAAAAATGCAAATATTTATATACTTTTTCCTCTTTTATTCATACTTTTATGCTTAAAAAGAAGAAATTTAAATCTGCGATTAAGCAAGAAATACTTGCTTTTTGAACCTAAAATTTTCACGTTATCATTATTAGGTAGTTTCCTTGGTACTGCTTCAACTTCTTTACAATACTATCACAAATTTACCCTGAAAATTTCAAATCATTTGGACTATCAGATCGAAAGATGTTTAAAATACAAAACTAAAAATAACTAAAAAAGGAAAATAAGTTAAAACTAAAAAGCAAAGAAAAAAAATCCGATAAAACAATTAATAAACCCCAGCTGCATAGGCTAGTATAGTTTCATTTTGTTTTTCTTCATCCACAAATCCTTTCCTAATGGCTCTCAGTTTTTTTTTTTTCTCAGTTCCATTTTTAGTGCACTTTTTATTAAATAATGTTATCCTTTGGTTATCCATTTTCGTAGCATTATTAATTAAAAAAAAGTTATGTGGTATACCAAGCTCAACATAAACAGATTCCAGTCCTCCATCATTAAATTTAATAATAGCTGAAAAAACTATAGTACTTTTGTAGATACAAACACAGTTTTACTTTTTCCAAATCACATGATTTAATGACTCATAGTTATTTTGTGTTTGTTAAGCAAAAAAAAACAAAAGCAAGCGTTTGTTAAGAAGTTCATCTTTTGAAAGATCTTAAAATACTGGTATCAGAAGAGATTTAATAGATAGTGGCAAACTTAGTTTTTTCCATATTTATAAAAATATTATATTCATCACTTGGAATATCTATCAAAGGTTTACTAATACCACTAATTGTTTTTAGAATTGCAGAGATATTTTCATTAAATGACAACTGCTATTTTCTAGGCAGGGTCTGCAGTGTGTTGGTTACTACAGAAATTTCATTTAGGTTTTGAAAGAGTTGATCAAAGCATACTTTAATTAATTTTCTCTAAAATTAAATACCCTTGATTTAATTTTTATTTGGAATATATAAGAAAAATAGCTATAAACAAATGAGAATCACTTGACAAATGTAAAGACTGCAAATTAGACAACTCTAATTTCACGTGGCAAAAAAAAAAGTTATTTTAAAGTATAGATTTTAAATAACTATTGTCTTGCTTTTTCAGCTTCAATAATAACTTTTCCAACTTGATAGTGCAAATTTTCAAGCTTGTAATGAAATTTATTTCAATATTAAGGAGTCGTTGCATTGGTGTTGCTAAGGGCGTGATTTTTATAGGGTTGCATAAAAATGAATTTTAGTCAACATATTCAATATTTTTATAAATTCCAATAATATATTTGAATTTATTATAAAATTTTGCATAAAAAAAAAAGCCAAGAGTATTTTTTTGGATTTTTGACTAAAAGTAAGGGTATGAACCACCTTAATACTCTAAACCTATTCTAAAACAAAAAATAATATCCATTATAGGTTAAAAATTTAAATACATAAATACTGTTTTCAAAAATAATCTTTAAGTAATTGTAGAAAAAAAACTGGATCCTTTTTTGTATAAATATTTCAATAATACTCTAAAATGAAAGTAATATAATTCTAAATTTCAAAATAATATAGTATCACTTGTTTAAAATCCATGCTTGCTGTTATAATCGAACAATCAGATCATCAGTTTCTCTAGATAGACTGGATGGCCACTTGATCTTTTGTAGCTTCGTCAATATGTTCATTATATACATTTTGGCAAAGTTGCTAATGTTGGCAACTGAGCAGTTAATTCACCTGTAGCTGGAATTAATTGTCTACCTTTAAAAGATTCTTAACAAAAAATTTAGGTATTGCTTTAATTATATAAGTTTTACCTAAATTTTTTTTTCAGGACCTTCCAAAGGTAGACAATTGATTCCAGCTACAACTGTGTACCTAAGAATTTAGCAAAAAAAATATATTATATTTTCTTTACTAAAGCTTTATTTTATTTAACTGAAATAAAATAAAGCTTTATTTCATTTAATTGTTTAAATATTCAATTTTTATATTTAAAAAATGATGAATAAAAAAAAAAACTCATTTCCCGGAACTAGAAGAAACGGTTTTCCTTGGTTCAATTTTACAGTCCTATCACGTGATTTAGAGTTGTTCGTAATCACGAAAGCAGCTACTCTTTCAGTTATAGTATTGTTTTTGTCGTGTGGTCATACATACATTCAAAAAATTCTCTACCAGCTATAACATCAATTATTGTTATAGCGTTCAAGAAACTTTGTCTAGTGTTTGTACGGTACAACTATGAGGCCTCTACCAATGATGGAAAAGTGTATTGAACATTGTTTCTCACCTGCTGATTGTTTTCTATGGTGAAGCATTTAGACAGTGCTAACTGGTAAAGAGTTGTTAAGTTTTGTTTTTCCTATGCAACAAATCAAGCAGTCACAAGTTAGCTCTCTAGAGAGTTGAACGAATCTTTACTGCTTGATAGTCAGGCAAGCAGTGTAGAGTAGCATCTTCTCTTGAAACTCTTTTTTTTTAAGTTATGTGCTACTTTTCAAAAATTCCAGTTTACACCCGGAGATCATTAAAATCAATTTAATGAGCAAAAATCTTTTGCAAACGCTCAAACAAAAAAATCATTCTCTGTTGAATTTTTGCTTCATCACAGATGTCTTGCATTCATCGTGATTATTTGCTAAATGTGACATTTGAGATAATAAAGTTAGCCAGGTTAGCACTTGTAGGTTTAAACTATAAAGCTAATATATCCCAGCAAATTTTGTGAATTTAATTTTAATTCAAATTTTAAAACAAAACAACACTTTATACTTCGATAATTTTTTTTTTTTAAAACTTGAAGTCTTAAAAACTTTAAGTCTTAAAACAACTTTAAATTACAAGTTAAAAATAAATTAAATTTGAAAATTTTCATTTTTATTAAAAAGTGAAATTAAATTTTTTCTCCAGCGGACGTAATGATTTTGGGACCAATCTGACTGCTTAATTGTGTACTGCCATACCTTAAAATAATTTTCTTTATATGAAAAGTTTAAATTAATTTGTATTTTGTGACTCTGTGACCAGTAGCGTAACGATAAATCATGCTCACCGCTACGAATTTTTCTTAAAAAAACGTTCAAAATGTTTTTATTTAATGACATCACATAAACTATGCTGTTCAAAAGTATTATTGATGTTAAAAATAATCTGAGAAAGATTTTGCATTTTTTAGTGACATAATAAAAAATACAAATTCTTAAACCTTAACTTTCGTGTCATGTTTTACAAATTTTCTTAAATTCTAGGTCGTTCCTAATAGCATTAAGGTTTTCGCTATACTACTGATTTAGACTAACCATCATGAGTTCAATGGTTTTAATACACGATAAAATCATTGAAAAACTGGTAATCTAAAGCGTCATTAAAAATTTAGTTTCTTCTCAAATCCGAGTTTAAGTTTTTGTTGATTTTAAATTTTATAAAATAATACTACGTCCTTATATTTCTTTTTGTATATAGTTTTGTCAGAAAAAGAGTTACATGAACACAAGCGAGAATACCTCTTAAATGAACTGACAAAACTTGCAGAAGAAAACCGAAATCACGCTTACTTGTACTCCAAAACACTTACAGAAAAAAACGTTTTAGAAAAACGTTTGAATGATTTAAAAGAAGAATTGATTGAAAAAGAAAAGATAATAAACAGTCTGGAAGAAGATATAAAACTTAAGAGCCTAAATAATTGCTCTAAGTTGTACAGCCATCATTTTAGGGAGATGTTAATTGAAAACGCAGATAAAAGTAATGTTATTATTGGGTTACAAGCACGTCTTCTTTTACTTAAAGAAAGAAACGAAATTATATCTTATAACAATGTTGAGTTGGTTAAGAAAAACGAAGACCTAATGAATCAAATAAAAGATCTTGCTATTAAATACGATTTCAAAAGATTAGAGTCCAAGCGTCTATCTCTGCAAATAAACTTAAACTGTGACAGTTTAAAAGCTGCTTCGGATTGCAAAAAAGAAATTTATTCTCTGAAATTCAAACTTATTCAAGCCAATGAAGAAAAAAATTATGCTGAAAAAAAATTCGAGGAAGCACAAAAAGTAATATCTGACATGAAATTGCAATTAGAACTTTTACAAAATAAAAGTTACAAAAGCGAGAAAAAAGAGGTTTTTAACTACTTTGTTTATTGTTTTAACATTCTCTTGTTTTGAAAGGTTTTTTCAGCAATTATTTTAAGGCTTAACTTTATTTTTCTCCCTTTTTTTTTTTAAACTTTTTTTTTTTAATTATTTTTATAATTTTTACTTGTTTTTTTTGTTCCTGTTATTATTTATTGGCTCTCGTTATTGTAAGCAATTATTATTTTACTTATTAAAGGTATCACTAAGCCATTTGGAATTGGAAGAAGAAATAAGTAACATGAAATTAATTCATGAAAAGCAAAAGAAAAAAATTGAAGGTCTTGAAAGAAAAATTAGTCGGCTTGATCAAGAAATTGAAACACACAAGGAGGAAAAAGCATTTTACTTGACAGAACGCCAACAAGCTATATGTGATAGAAACCGAATAGAAGAAGAAAGGAACGAGTTGCAAAAACATAACAAAGTCTTACAAGATTTAAAAGAAGAGACTGTACAAAAACAAATAAAAATATCTTCTCATTATGAAAAAAAAAACAAAGAGCTCTCTTCAGAATTAGGTACTTTTAATTTGTTAATTCCTTCTTCTGCAAATTTTTTTATGTCTACTCAATTTTCTTAAACTAATGTTAACATTGCATATATTATAAATAATGTTTACATTGCATTACATACATATATCAAAATTAATTGCTGGAGCAAGAAGAAATCACATTTTGCTTATAAAGATATATATATATATATATATATATATATATATATATATATATATATATATATATATATATATATATATATATATATATATATATATATATATATATATAGACACACGGTTATCTACTATAGCATATTTATATGTGCAATTGCTCACTTTTTTTGCTAGCCTAAATTAAGTGAGCGTTTTTAGAAAACAATGAGGGAAAACGAAGAATAATGAATGAAAAGGTTGCTGACCCATACCAAGCCCTCAGTCGATGTAGCAGCACTCCACTGCGAGTCAGGCTATTTGTCAGTCGATGTATGTACTGAAGCCCCCGCCAACAGGCTATTTGACGTTAGGTGAGTATAATATCATCATGCTCATCTAACTCAGCAGTATAAGATATAAAATAGTCGATGTAGCAACACTCCACGTTTTAGCGTTAAAAAAAAATGTATACATATATATACTGAGGGCTTAAAGTAAAGTAGATTGAAAGATTTGTGGATAACATAAACAATAAAACTAAGTATAAATTGAGTTTATACATATTTAAAGCAATGTAAAAGCGATTCGCAACATTTCTGGCGGATCCAAAATACTGTTCTGCACGCATATTTTTGTATGTTGCAGATTTCTTTGGTTTTGTAAGGCCAGTGATAGTCACTTTAGTCATACAAAATCCTTTGAATAGTAATTTTTGATTTCTTTCTCAATAGTTTTCAAGTTTATTTAAATAGTAAATTGCGATTTACTGTATAAAAAGCTTTTGAGAGGTCAAAGAAAACTTCTGATGTGAAACTGTAATTATCTATAACATAGATATTTGATCGGAAAGTTCAACAACTGCGCGTTCAGATGAACTTTTATTTTAAAACCAAATTAATTACAATACAACATGCCATTCTCAGTTAAATGATTATATAGCCTATTATCTACACTATTATCTACTGGTAACTTTGTAAAGCAAGGATAGATATATTATTCAAAAAATTTGACTAATCTCCAGATTTAAAAATTGGAGATTAGTCAAATTTTTTTTTCATAATTTTTTTTTTCAAAAATTCAGTTACATCAGGTTTAGTTTTTGAGGAACATCACGCGATATAAATGAAAGATTGAAAACGTGAAGTAAAAAGGTTCAGTGATTTCAAATACTGATATGACAATATCGACTCTAACTTTATCAAAATCTTCACTTTTTTTTTCTTTTCTCAACTTGCTCAGTTTTAAATGAGTGTCGTCCATAAGTTTATTGTTAGCTTTTAAATCGAATGGAGAAGAGTTAGGAGGAATTTTAACAGGCAATTTTGACCAATATTGCTAAAGTAATTATTTATTACTTCAGCTATAATTGATTTATCCATTAGTTAAAAATGACTTTTCCATTAATTAGGATTTTTTGGCTGAGCGTTTTTTTAATTATAATTGTTCCAATCAAATTCTTAATAACATTCTATATTTTTTTAGTGTTTCCGTTTGTTTTTTTTAATAATTGATCATATTAAAACCTTTTTGAGTTTTTTTGAATATATTTTTCGTTTTATTAAATATTCTTTTATAACTATTTTAAATTATTTCAATTTTATTTTTTTAATACAATTTTATTTTTGAAGGTTTTAGTTTTTTTGACAGTTTATGAGTTTTAACAGTTTTAGAGTTTGATTTTGTAGATTTTTTTATCAAAATTTTATTTTATGTTGACCCAGAAATACGGCGTATTTCTTTAAATTCTAATTCACTTCCAACTAGGCTGCAAACAACCACTCTTAAGTAGGGAATTACTAGAAAACAAAGAATAGAGTTGAAGAGCAAGGAAACTTTGAGCATTGACCATGATATCATGGTCAATGCTCAAAGTTTCCTAATCCGATGCTAACTTCGCTATATATGGTTTAAATGAAAGGTCAGTAATAAACGATAATCGAAAAATACGTAAAAAAGGAGACTCATTGTTAGCATCCCTCAATTGCATTATCAGATTATAACTAATGCGATTTTTTAAACAGTTTTTGAATTGTTAACAATATAAAAACTGTTTAAAAAAATGCAACAATATTGCCACAAAATAAATAAAATTTCGGGGACAGATCAATGAAACCTCCTAAAATTTTAAGAGGTTTTTATTGATCTGTCCCCAAAATTTTATTTATTTTGTGGCAATATTGTTAATAAAAATGTCGTTGGTAGGTAAAATTGAATAAATTAGTCTGAATTATACATGTGTAAAAAGGGTTTTGATGAAAATTGTTAGTTATTATGTTATCAAGTAGAGTAGAATACTTATTTGTGACTCTTTTTGATTTTTTTATTGCTGGAATAAACAGATTTTCTAGAAGAGTGTTTATAAAACTCTTAGCATTATTATTTGAAGCTTTATCAGGTTGATGATAAAATCCTTGACCAAATAAATGTATTTTCTAGAATTTATAGTTTTGTTTCGGAATGTTTTGAGATGAGTTTTAAACTTTTTTAATTTTTTTTACTAGATTTATTATTTGTCTATTTGGAGTATTCATAACTATGTTTTTTAGTTTTGTTCACTAATTCAATGCATATATGGAGTATAATTATACAATTCATATATAAAACAGATTGTAAACCATTATAATGGTTTAAAATCTGTTTCATTAATGCAGTAGTTGTTATGCAACATAAATTTTAGTGAATTGCGGATAAAAATGCGCTTCCGCCCGTATTTAATTTGGGCGGTTGACGAATTGATGTGAAATAGCTTGAGTTTATAATTTGTTCCATCGTATTTACACCAAGTTTCCGTTAGACATATAATTTTGAAGTCAAGTTAAAGTTCATCAATATTATTTTTAAACTTTCAAAGTCTCTATTTAAACTTCAAATATTAATGTTTAAAATTATAAAAGCAAGTTTATTTCGTCAAAGATATTGATCCAGAGACTGAGTAGTATTGACTTTCTAACGTTTTCTGAATAAAAAATTAAAGTCAGTATCATTATTACCAAGAATATTAAAAAAAGTATTTAAAAAAATTTATTTGTTTGTCTTTGCTACCCAATCGCAAATTATTTATTGGTAATAAATATGTAATATGCAGTAAATTTAACAGTCGTTCGCTTTCTATGCGGCTTTTACTTTTGCAGGCGTAGCAAAGTGATTGGCGCGTTTGCCTCAGAAGCTCGAGATCCGTGGTTCAAGGCCACCTCAGACACCTCAGACACCTCAGACCTCAGACATATAAATTTGAAGTCAAGTTAAAGTTCATCCAATATTATTTTTAAACTTTCAAAGTCTCTATTTAAACTTCAAGTATTAATATTTGAACGATAAAGAAGGAGACCTAAGTTCTCTTTAAAATGCTCTTCCGCAATGCTCCTTGGTAAGACCGTCAGGAGTTCTTTGGGCACCTAAAATTAAAAAAAAAAACTGCATTTTTATTAATTTTATCTACTCTTAAATTGTTTAAAATCCTCAAACAGGTTTGTTATACCTTATAATGTAATAGCCATTTTATAATGCAAAAATCTATGAAAAATAAATATAAAGTATTTCGGCTTTAATAAAGTTGCTTAGCTTTTTTAATTATTTAAGTTTAGTATTTTCATATTTTTGGTTTAGTATTTTAGATATTTTAAATTAGTATTTTAGCTATCTAACGAATATTATCCCATAGGAAAAATACAAATTTCCATGATTTGATTGCCTTGAATCAAAACTTTATGAATATCTGTATTTAATGTATAGGTTCAGAGTCACTGTTGCATAGATTTCGAATTTATTCAAATTGACACTATGACATGAATATATGCATTCTGGAATAATTCCTAAGTGCTTAATTAATTCAGATCCTGTTATCTCAACGGACTCCTGTTATCTCAGCAATTAATTCAGCTCCAGTTATCTCAGAGTTTCTAAAAAATATCCAAGTAAAGTTTCCATTGTTTGTTTTACAAGTTTGCTGTTTGAATAAATCAAGCAAAAGATTTAATTCATCTATAAACTTATTTGGATTTTTTTTTTAATACATTATTTTCAGTTCCTTGTGTATAACTACTAAGCGTTATTGATTGTGAAGAATGCATTTCAAAATTCTCATTCAGGCATGAAGAGATAATAATCCAGAGAAAAGATATTTTTTGTTTACATTTCTTCTCAATAATTTATTTAGGTTGTTAATTTCAGCACGTTTCACTCCTCATAAGTAGCAACATTGGACAGAAGAATGTGATGAAAGCACATTGCAAACTTTTTCAAACCTATTATTGCAAAGCATCACAGTTCGTAAATTTGTATGTCAAGATATGGTTAGGTAGTCGCAAGCGTTTTGATTTATTGTCTTAAACCTTTTTCTTTTTTTGATATTGAATATGTAGATACCTTCTTAAAAATTAGTTTGTTATTTTGAAAGTAGATATTACTAAGTAGATAATGTGACAGGGTTTTCCATATTATGGTTTTAGTTAAAAATTTGTTGCATAAACATATTGTTTACAATTAGTGAAATAATTTTCAATTATTTTGAGATACCTCCAGTTTGTCCATAAAACTTAAACTTTTTAACAAGGATTTTATGATCAATTATATCAAACACTTTGGAAAACAATTATATCTCTGCGTAAAATTGAAAATTTTAAAATGCTATGCTTTTAAGCTGAACATTCCATGAAAGTTCCAAACAACATTTCAAACAACATTCCAAGCAACTCTATTGAACTATTATTGATTAGTAGTGATGTAGTGGTAGACTCATAATCAAAAAGTTCCGAGTTCGATTCCCACCACGTCCCTAGTAGTACCGCGCTCAATTTGTTTCTCCGCGAATCGGCCTTGATCGTCGAGGTTCGTGTTTCGGGGTTAAAGAGTTGAGAGAGGGTTGTAACCACAAATGTAGCCTCCTCGACTGTAGTGGCCTTCTCGGCCTTAAGGAGGTGAATAATTTATAAAAAAAAAATTTTTAAACATTGCTTTTTTTTTAGAATAAATAATATTCTATGATAAAATTTTTTTTATAGATAAAAAAAAAGAAGAGTTAGCTTTAAAAATAAATGAAATAAATTTGTTAAAAAACATCAATCAAGCAAAAGATGATGAAGACACAGAAGCAAAAGCAAATCTAAAAAATGAGAATTTGCATAAAAGCATTCAATGTTTACCTGCAAATACTAACAAAAATGAGGTAAATAATATATTTTTTAAGTAAAATAGCTATTTTTTTAAAGCTAAAACATTGTGTAGATTACAAACTGTTCAGAAAAAGAAATAGACATAACCGGTTTGTAACATTTTTTTAATTTACAAAAAGATTATTATGTTTTTATTTTTCTGCAGGTTAATAAAAGTAATGAGCAAGTTTTAAGACAAAATTCTGAGTTTGAATCAGTAAATATAAGCGAGAGTGAAAAGAACGAAAACACGGAGAATAACGAAAACAATGAGAACAATGTGGTAAATGATTATTTATTAAATTATCCAAATCAAGTAAATTTGAAACAGTTGATCCAAACATATAAGTAAAAATTTTTTAGAAAAATGAAAGCTACTAGTTATACCATCTGTTTTTTTATGTTAAATAACTATAAACGCTTATACATATATAAAACGACTATTAACGTTAGCGTTTAAGATTTAAAAATAAATACACGAACATACACAATTATATAAATTACACAATTATATAAATACACGATTATATAAATTAATTATTTTTATCATACTGATGATAAGGATTCCACATAAGAGCTGTGTATTCCAAATATGGACGTACTAAGACTATAAACAAGAGTTTCATTGTTTTTTCATCTAAATATTTAAAAGTATGTTTGATCTGACCTAGCTTTTGATTTGCTTTATTTACTTTTTTATTTACATGGTGTTTCCATTCCAAATGGAATTTACATGGTGTTTCCATTCCAAGTCTGAAATGTACACTCCTTAATCCTTTTCCATGCTTACGTAAGCTGTATTATTCATTAAAACTTTGTGCTGGCTATTTCCTATTATCATAACCTTACATTTTTGCTGGTTGAATTTTATCAACCACTCATTCGACCATTCCATTAATAAGTCTATATCTTGTTGAATTTCAATAACACCACTATCGTTTTTTATTGCTCTAAGGATTTTCAGGTCGTCAGCAAATAGTTTACAGCTTGATTTTATTTTGTTAGAGATGTCATTAATATACACTACAAATAGTAGTGGTCCTAGCACTAATCCTTGTGGTGCTCCACTCACGATCTCTTCCCATTCTGATTTCTTATTTCCTATCACCACTCTTTGAAGTCTGTTCATTAAAAATCCCTGGTACCAGTCAAATAGTTTTAATTTAAAACTAAGAGCATTCAATTTTAACAACAATCTTTCAAGATCAACTGAATCAAACGCTTTAGTTAAGTCCAGAAACAAAACTATTACATTCAAACCATTTTATCATCCAAACCATTTTATCTTGCTACTTTTAATTTTGCTGGTTATGACGCTAAGTGTGTGTGTGTCACTGTGTGTGTATCTCTGTGTGTATACATACATACATCTTTAGATATAGAATACAATATTTAATATTATACATGTCTCACTATAGGTTAACACAAGCATTGCAACAAGCCATAATCCTAACCAACAAATATTTGAGTACGATGGCAGTCACGTATATAAAATGTTTAAAGAACAGAAATCAGCAGCGGCAGCTTTGCTGATGGCTGTACCTTTGTTTGGGGCTGCAACTTTATTTAGTGGTAAAGAACCAAACAACCACGTTACTGAAGAAAATAATTCACAGCAAAAAACAAATTTTGATAAAACAAAGCAAAATTTTTCACAAACTCTGTAATACGTTAAAAATTTATTTAAATGTTATAAATATCATATAAAAGATATATATAATATAAAAGATATAAAGAAGCATGTATGTATTTGCATATAAATATCAAATATTTCAGAATAACTTAAGAGTATTGATCTTAAAAATATTGTCGGTAAGCAGAGGGGGTTCCAATTAAGATTTCCCTCAAGTTGACGCTAGTTCAATCTTTCCTAAATTTAAATTCGGATTATACCTTTCTCAATTTTTAGGGATTACAAATTCTGTATGGTCATAATTTTTGAACATCAAGAGATTATACAATGAAACTTAAAATTTATCAATGATTGAATTCTAGTTAAGAATAGCAAAAAAAATATTTTATCACTTTTTGTTCTCACGTTTATGACAGGTAGGGGCAAAAATTTTAGAGTTTTTCTGTTCCTTATATATATATATATTATATATATATATATATATATATATATATATATATATATATATATATATATATATATATATATATATATATATATATATATATATATATATATATATATAATATATAATATATATATAAGGAACAGGAAAACTCTAAAATTTTTGCCCCTACCTGTCATATCAATTTTTCCTGCCATTAAGGAATTTAATTAAGACAATATTTCCCGACATTGAGGGATTTAATTAATGCAATTTTTACTGACACCAAGGATTGTAATTAAAGGATAATTTCCTGACATGGAATATAATTAAGGCAGGTACTCCTGTCATTAAGAAATTTAATTAAGGGCATATTTCCTGGTTTTAAAAAACAATTTTGCAATACCAAGGATATTATTTTAAAACATATTCTAAAGCTATATTACAAAATACTTACACGATGAGTAGCATCCAAGATCCAAATAATTATTAAATTAAACGCATTAAATAAATTCACAAATCATTAAAAGTGACAGGTGTAGCAAAATGGCTGTTAAAGTAATAAGTTATTGGGGAACAAGTCGCAAGATTACAAATATTGAAGTAGACTAAAATGTTTACGCAACTAAATATTACACAAATATTTGATGAATAAGTTGGTGCAATATAATAATTGTAGTAAGAGTACACAAAATAACACAGCCACTTGTGCAGCCAAATATTCAAGTGAATACAATGTAGCAACTGCAGCATTAACATACAATGTAGCAACTGCAGCATTAGCATACAATGTAGCAACTGCAGCATTAGTATACAATATAACAAGGCTACTTATACAAATATTCAAGTGAATACAATGTAGCAACTGCAGCATTAGCATACAATATAACAAGGCCACTTATACAAACAAATATTCAAGCTAATACAATCAAATAACTTTAGCATGATCAGCACTCAAAATAACAAAGTTATTTTACAAATAAGTTACAAGTTTGTTGACACTCTAACTATGCCATGTTTTCATATATCTTCAGTAGTGATCACTAGTTAGTATATGCTACAGTTGAAAAAGTCAAGCTACACTGTTGATGGTGCCATTTATATTTTAAATTTTTCTAAATTAAAAATCGAAAACAACTTTAACATGTAGTCTAAGCATTCTACAATCAAAAATTCAGTCAAGCAAACTTTTCCGTTGCACGCAATTCTTCAGGTGATATTGTCGAAATAATTCAACAAATATCCTAGGTTCAGCTTGGGATGAGCCAAGTTTTACGGAACAATCGAAAAGTTTAATTTAAAATAATAAGTATATGTAATACGAAATTTCCCATTCCCAAACAAATTTTAAATATTCCGTTTTTGCTATAAATATTAAATTAAATTAGTTTTAAGTCAGTGTTAACTAGAGAATAAAAGATAAATGTGAATTTATGTATTGAAAAAGAAAACTAGACATCAAATTTGAACAACAATGCATCCAAAATGCTCACCGTTCCATATGTGATTAGCAAATCAAACAACTTCTTGGTAGTTGGGCGCTTTTTTCCTGTCATCCGCAACAGGTATAGCAATGCTTTCACAGCAACTGTATTGTGTCCACCTTTAAAAAATGCAATAAGTCTACTAATTTCACTGTACAATATGCAATTTATTTTTGTCAATAAAAGTCAACCTCAAATTACGTATATATGAATAACACTAGATAGACCACATGTATATTAATTTACTGGATACAATAATAGCTAATAACTCTAATAATAAACTCCCTCTGTGTTACATTCTTAAAGGTATTTAACAGTTGGTCTTGAACAATAGTGTAGCACAGAAGTTATCAAACTTCCTATACACATAACAAAGCAATCACCTCCATCCGGATGTAAATGACGAAAATCTTGCAGCAGCTAAACATTAAATAAATTTCTACAACAAAATCTTACTAATCACAAAACAAATAATTACATAAATAGCAAGTTACGTATCTAGAATGGTTTTCAATATCTATTTTAAAAATGTTTACCATTTATGGCAAGGATAAGTAACATGGCATTTCCTGTACACATTTTTAATGTTGGATGATGTTCTCTAATTTTTTTCGCCTAAACCAAAACGCTCTCATTGCTGCTAGTAGGAGGTCTTCACCAAAAACTGATGCAGACAAGGTGGTTAACTTGACCACTTTGGTTTTCATATCATTGCTTGCTATACCTGTAAATCAAAACAAGGTTATATGTTTTACACAACTACATAAATGAGTTTACACAATACTAATTACTTAAACAGTTATTAAAAACAATCTAAACACTTTTTAAACTTGAGTCTGTTATAATAATTACCTTCACAGAATTCACACTCCTCCAATCCTCAACCACAACCTTTGCAAATGAATTGAAAACTCATCATTTTTTAGAACAGTAGTAATCAATGAGTTTGTAGAAGATTGGGCAGTGCTGCAGAAGTTTGTATCAAAATTTGTCTTGCTTTATCCATTTCCTCTTTTGGAGCCCAAGTCCATCTTTTTTAATTGCCAAGCACGTATGTTTTCTGTTTTATTTTAAAATCTTTAGATACATTAGCTGGTGTTTTTCAATATACTTCTGGCACCGGCTAAAGGTACCATTTTATCCGGAAAAAAGATGCTATTTTCAGTAACTGTTGTTAATAATTTATGATTATGAAGTTAAATTTAAAAAACATTGTTAATCAATAAAAAAGATTTTTTGGGGTTGGGGGGGGGGAGTGGAGGTTTCAACTTTAATGATGCAAAAAAAATTTATACTTATAAAAAATATAAATAAAATGTATACATACGCCTTAAAAAGGATTTAAATACTTAATATTTACATATAAATATATACCTATATATTGAAGTACCTATTTATATATATATATATATATATATATATATATATATATATATATATATATATATATATATATATATATATATATATATATATATATATATATATATATATATATACATATATATATATATATATATATATATATATATATATATATATATATATATATATATATATATATATATGTATATATATATATATATATATATATATATATATATATATATATATATATATATATATATATATATATATATATATATATATATATATATATATATATATATACATAAACATTACTATTTTTATTAATACTATTGTAAAAATGATTTACGGAAGATAAACAGCCTGTTGTTGTGGTTGTTGTTGCTTACAAAAGCGAGATGAAAAACAGCATATATATTTTTTACTTTTGTGTTTAAATTTCCTTTAAATTTTGAGTAAAATGGTGTTTAGAAGATTAAGGGTTCCTGAGGAAACTTTATCAAAATATTATCAGCAATGGTTCTCTAAAAATGCTTGATAACTCGATATCTGAACTTTTTATTACTTATGATGTATTTAATTTGTAGCAATTTATTATCGATACAAATTTTTCTTGTTTTCTAGCAATCAGAAAGTTCTATAGAACTCGCAGATTGCTTGACTCTATAGTAATTGCTACATAGTACATATTAAATATACATAGGTATGTATATATTTTGCAAAACAAAAAGTAATCTTACTCTTTTTTACACAAAAAGTATGCATACCTATGTATAGTTAATTATGCCTGTATATTCTAATTTACTTTCAGTTTTGGACGGGATTACAAGGAAGTACTACGTTAAGCTTGCATTTATGTGTTATCTGAGGGCAAGTACAAGTTTTGTACTCCCTAGCAGACCACCATACCCGCTTTATGGAAAAAAGTAGAGAACTGTAGCTTTATAACAAAGAAAGGATTTTGTTGAACATAATAACATGTTTAACAAATACTTAGCTTTTTAATAAATAAATATATATAATATTTTCATTTTTGGTATCTACTACATAAAGCTCCAGCTTTTGATGGGTGAAATAGCCAACCTTACAAAACAATTAATGCATGAGATTAATGAAGTGGCGACTTTTGTGGTTGCCTTCTAAACTACTGGTTTCTTAAAGCTGAACAAGCCTCATTGCACCATTTAAGGTTAGTGTCAACTTAAAAAATATGAAATGCGTAAATATAGTAAACAAGGATTCCAGTATAAAAAAACAATTTTGATAATTAATAAAGCATAATTTTTTCTAAAGAAAGAATTTAACAATTTTTCTTCCATCTAGGATATGAAAGCTTTTTAGCAAATAAGAGGTAAAATTAGAATCAGACTTTAAATCTATTAAACGACACACATCGTTTATGGACGCTTATCTTATTGTGCTAGCCTTAGCTGATAAATAAATGAGAAAAAAAAGGTGAAATCGCTCAAAAGCTGTGGGCGAATATCCATCAGCCTAAATGAAATCAAACATAGAGGTTCTCTTTTTTTCAGATTTCAGTCAGTGCCGGATCAGGGGGGGGGCTAGTGGGACTATAACCCCGGGCCCCGTAAATTTAGGGGCCCCCAAAAATTTTAAAGGACCTTTTTTTTTTTTAGTCATTTTTAGGGTGTGGCTCATAAAAAGGCCTCCAAAAACAAAAATAACTTTGGGCCCCAAGAAGTCTTAATCCGACACTGATTTCAATGGATTAAAGCCGCCAAACTTAGTTCCATTGGTCACAAAAAATTCGTGGCTCTTGTCCCTTATGATAACCCAAAGTAAAAGTGGCTGTCAATGGGTGAACCCACTTCCTTCGTCTCTAAATACTGAAATTGCAAGCATTACTACCTATAATTTCAGGATACTGTT